GCTTGTCAGTTGGCGTGTATGTATGACGGTCGCTGTGTCCCGGGGTCATGCAATCACCTTTTGCGACCTTCTGACAAGCAAAGTCAATGAGGAAAGTCAGATACTCTTAAGATCGTGTTACTAGCTTAACAACTGAAGCAATTCGCTTACAAACTGTAGAAGAAAGATGATAAAATGGGGCAAAACTGACTTAACAACTGCCTTGCTTACCAACAGAAAGTTGGGCTCAATTGTGATCTTAAGGTGAGGACTACTTGTATAATATAGTTTTCAAGGTTTTACAGGTGCCACCTGCATGTAGACTTAAATCATGCACTTCCGTGTTTTTCAACCTTGGCAACTTTTCGATGGGTGGACTTCAACTCCCAGAATTCCCCAGTCAGCTTTGCTTTGTTGGCTGAGGAATTCTGGAAGGTGAAGTCCATCCATCTTAAAGTTGCCATGCTTGAGAAAAAACTGAGGTACTTCATTTACATACTCTGTTTCAATAAATGTCCTGGTAAAACCTTATTAAGATAGTTCCCATTCTATTTCAGAATAGGAACCTTCATAGCTCTAACTTTATTTTTAAAGCTGCTTGATTTTTATTAATTCTGATGATGATAATATGTAATAATTTTCAATCTTGGAAGGAAATATTGTTAGCCACCTGAAATAGAAAATGCAATGATTGTGAAGCATTCTGTGCATTAAGGGTGTTGTAAATCTGCAAAGAAGCATAATGCACTTTTACTAAGCATAAATTGAGAGTCACTCACACAAACACAAGATCCCTTCCATTCCCATATTTTCCACGCTTCTTAAAAACGGTTAAGCACTTTCCCAGAATAGACATTAAAGGTAAAGATTCCCATCTCACATATGTGCTAGTCATTCCCAACTCTAGGAGGCGGCACTCATCTCTGTTTCAAAGCCGAAGAGCCAGCGGTATCCAAAGCTGCCTCCGTGGTCATGTGGCTGGCACACAGAACGTTGTTACCTTCCTACCAAAGTGGTCCCTATTTTTCTATTTGCACTGTTACGTGCTTTCGAACTGCTAGTTTGGCAGAAGCTGGGACAAGTAACGGAAGCTCACTCCGTTACGCGGCACTAGGGATTCGAACCGCTGACCTTTCTGATCGACAAGCTCAGCATCTTAGCCACTGAGCCACCATGTCCCCTTAGGAATAGGCATTAATCATAGTTAATTACATTAAATTCAGACTACACTTTAACATTAACCATACCCCTCCAATGGAGGTTTCTGAAACAGTCCTAGAATTGCACCCGAGTAGAGGTGGGCGTCACCTACTGTAACAACTGGTACACCCAAACCTGTCTGAACCGGCAGTGTCCCACCTCTGCACCCGAGCCATTTCATAGCAAGAAAACTAATAAGAAACAATTTTAAAAGTGATCAATAGGTCCAACGCCTAATGTTTTGTAAAGAGAAACTTCCTTGAAAATAAGAAAAAAAAAAACCTGCCTTGTCTGCCATAGCCATTTATGTAAAAAGCGGAGCCCATTGATTTTCAGCCAGTCCTGTGAAAGCTTAGATAGCCAGAAGTCAGTTCTTCTTAACAGAGTGATGGTATGTTCTCTAATAAATTCTGCACAGATGTCAAACCTATGTGACAAGAAGTCAATCGCTTCCAGTAAAACATGTTCTTCCTTGAAGAAGGTCACAGCGTATATTGCCAAATTCTGAATTAAAGAACCTTGCGGGAATGGAACCCTGAGGCTACAGGCTGATCTGATAACCATGGTAGCAATTTAAAGACCTAATGCAATATAAAGTTAATACACTTCACCCAGCATAATATACAATTAGGATAGTTTAACCCTACTTATAAGAATGGTTTGTTTCATTGATTGTATGTGAGGTGGCATCTGGCAAATGAAATTCTTGCCTCAGGAGCATAGATACAACTACAATACACATCCAGTGGGTCACCACAGATAAGCTTCAAGGCAATTTATTCTATTAAGGCAACAACAATAAAAACAAAATTCAGACAATATAGAGGAAGGCGATCCCCCAAATGTGGCATGCGCTCATATAACACATACATAGATGATTACTTATAAAAACACCACTTTTATATCGGCCATAAAATGCCACTTAAAGTAAATTAGTTTCTAAAGAAGAATGTGGTTCTGCATACCATTAAGAAACAAAATGCAAACACAGTAATTTATTTTTCTTTAACTGCAAAAAAAAAAAGTGTGCAAGCCTAGCAAAAAGTTACAGAGGCGTAAATAAAATTAAAAGGAAAACACACTGGGGAAGGAATGAGTGAGTAGTACTGAAATTTAGTGAGAAAGAACATACAGTTCGCTTAAGGAAGCACTGAAAGATTGAAGAAAGCACTTTTTAAAACAGTAAATGTCAGGCCCATCTCAATGGTATTAGAGATTAAAATGAGGATATTTCACTTTCTCGTTCATTTTACGAGAATGAACGAGAAAGTGACTATCCACAGACAGGAAGAGTTATCCAAGTGAAAGTCAACAGAAAATAGTGTAGTGACTACAAATCAATTTAATCCCTTCCTACAACTCACTGAATATTAAATATTCTATAGAAGGCATCTCCCCCACTGCACACAGACACTTAATGGAAGAACTATAAGTAACATTAACATGAAAAGAAAGGTCAACCTAAGGTAGCCATTTCGTTTAAAGAAAGTGACATCATTCCATTCGGTCCATCATTGAGTGTTCATTCTCATGTACTGCTAAGTTTATTAGCTACTGGCCGTTGGCAATGTGATTACTCCTCTAATCTTTCCACGTAGCCATTTGAATATTTCAAACCCTGGCATTAGCTATGAAGCTACAGTTGTGATTGATTTCTCTCTCCTTTAGATTTTTTTAAAAACTCTGTCTTTATTATTTTTATAAATAACTCAAGGTAGCGAACATAACTAATATCCCTTACTCCTCTTTTCCCAACAATAATATCAACTCTGTTGGGTTGGGTTAGATTGGGTTGGGTTGAGAGAAGAAGGTCCAAAGTCACCCAGCTGGTTTTTATCCATAGGCAGAACACCATCTCCTGGTTTCTAGTCTGGTGGTTTCACCGCTACACAAAACTAGCTAATAAGTATAAGTAGTAGATGCTAACAGACACCAGAAGCCATATGTTTTCATATTATTGTTCAAGCCATAAAGGTAAATTAAGCAGTATCATTTCTGTATTATTCCCTCAATGATGTGGGTCAATTTAATTTATCTATATATAGTTTTTATGATGTTTCCCTATTAATAATAAAAAGGAGAAAGAAAAGCAAATCACAAAAATAATGATGGAGATAGATATGTTGTCAAAAAGAAAAGAAACCCGCCCCCCGCATAAAATAGTGTTTTAAGAAAAGTACAAAAAATACGACAAAGATAAAACCATAGTATGACATGTCATCGTCACAATAAAAAGCTACAATTCAAAAACAGCATTTTATGGGAGATGTAATAAGGGGTTCCACCACAAATCCGCGAAGCCCTTATCTGCGGAGACATAAGCGCGAAGACTAATTCGCGCCGTTCGAAGCACTAAGGAAAAACACGACCCTACCGCGATAACATAATTGCGGAGGGCAAATCCGCCCATTCCCAAGCACTCAGTACCCTAAACCTAACCCTAACTCTAAC